TTTAGCAGCTAGATCTGTTACTTCATTAGAGGTGGCAAAATGGTGATTTCCTAATCTTATCATTCCTCTTGTATTTACCTGATTCTTACATGAAGAATTTTCCCTTATCAGAAAGAAGTTGGGATAAATGATTCACTTTACCCATGAGCAATTTTCAAAATATTGAATTGGCACCCTAGTAACCTCCAAAGGTGACCAATTAGTTTTTAAAATAGCATTAAGATCTCAGGGCCGTTTTATATATATCATGTTTCAAAATATACTCTTTCTGATGCTCACACTAACCCATCTTTGGCCAATGGCAATCCTTTCAAGTTAGTTAGCTCCTGGGTCCTTTTGACACGGCCTTACTCTGATTGCTTCCCTGCTTTCTGACACAAAGTATTCCAGACTCATCTTGTCCTTTCCCTGCCCCCTTTCAGTGGGACAGTCTGGGTGCAAGGGTGGGCCTTACTATCGAGCTATGATTATTTCTAGGCCTTTTCAGTGAACAAAGCTATGCAACATGTATTTTCCAGAAATAAAAATAAATCACATGATTATTGATTGTATTGTGTCTCTTTTCTCTTCTGCTAAAAATCTTGGCTCTTGATTCCAGTGACACAAGTAAATATTTTCTTTAACACATATAAATACCCAAATGACACTACCAATATCATTGATAAAAATAAAACTATTGAATGCAGTTTAAGATTTATTTGTAGTTGTTTGGTCTGTAGTGTATATTCCATTAGCAAAGTACAGACAAAATACTAGGCGTTCAAGTCACTTGAAGTAATTCTTCGGTGGGGCTATACCACCAACTTGACAGACTGTTAAGTCTGTTTTAGTTTTAAGAGTTGCTTTTTCAAAAAATGTTTATTATACAAAACATTGACAAGGCCTCAAAGTAAAAGGTACACAAGATACAGAAATAGTTGCCATCCTTGTATAGCTCCCTACCACCACTAATAAGGGGATCATTTTATTAGTTACTGGTATAACTAATCCTTCTATTGCTTTACAAAAAAAGCAAATACCTATATTTTTTTCCATTTGTCTCTTTGTTATACAACAGATAGCACACCATACATTCTGTTCTGTAATTTACATTTTTCATTTCCTATATACTGGGGATTTCTCCAGATTAGAACTACAAAAATAGTTCACAGTCCTTTCTACAGCTGTGCAGTACTCCATTGTATAGATACACCCTAGTTTCTTCCATCAATTCCCTATCAGTGGAGATTTGGTTGGCTTCTGTAGCTGTTAGAAATTGTGCTGTAATCAAGATCTTTGTGCAAATACCATTTTATATTCTTGAAAGTGCATCTCATATTCTTCGAAGTGGGTCTGTCAGGTTGAAGGATATACTCATTCAATTTTGCTAGTTATTAACAAATACCAACCACAGGGATATGTACTTTTTAAGAGTGCCTGTTTCCCTACTGTCTCAACAGACTGCATTGTCTAACTTGGATTTTCCCCAATATGACAGGTAAGAAAGGTATTTCCATTATTTTATTTTATTTTGCATTTGCCTGTTTATGCATATCCTCGTATGTTTAAAGGTCATTTGCATTTTATTTTCTGTGAACTGTCTGTTCATATCTTTTTGCCTATTCTTCAGGTTCCTCTCAAAGTTTAAAATTCTTCATATATAGGGCTACAATTAGCTCCTTGCGATAAAGGCTGCAAATATTTTCAGCTATCCAAAAAAGTTTGTCTTCTTCTCTGTCACCCAGGCTGGAGTGCAGTGGCTTGTTTACTGTATCCTCAAACTCCTGGGCTCAAACAGTCCTCCCACTTCAGCCTCCCAAGTAGGTGGGACCCAGCCCAGGACTTTTTTTTTTTTTTTTTTAATCAGCTCGTCATTTGCTACAAAAAAAAAACCTGCTGAAATTTTCGTTGTTGTTTTTTTGTAGAGCCAGTTTTACTAGGTTGCCCAGGTTGGTTTTGAATTCCTGGTCTCAAGCAGTCCTTCTGCCTCAGCCTCCCAAAATGCTGGGATTACAGGCATGAACCACTGCATCTGGCTGAAAATTCTTTTTAGTTAAATATATAATTTTTTCTTTTTATTGCTGCTGAATTTTCAGTCCTAGAAAAGTTTTTTTCACTGTCAGATTATACAATAATTAATCTATGTTTTCTTCCAGTTAGGGGTTTTCATTTTTAAAATTGGGTCTTTGATCTATTCAGATTTTATCCTGTGTACTCTGAAAAATTGATTTGATTTCATTTCTTTTCCAGATGGTTAACCACACTTGTCTCAACACCATTTTTAAAGCCTTTTTCTCTATGAATGAGATGCTTCCTTTATCATATATAAAATTGCTAGACTTTCTCATATTATCAACAGTATGTTATAATATTTAATAAGGTTATCCCTCCTTCCACACTGTTTTTTTCTAGTACCTTCTGGTTATTTTTGTTTATTCCTTCCAGTACCTTGGTATAAAAAAAACTTCTTGCTTTATTGAAATCTGGTATGGCCCTTTAAATATATATTATCCGTACGAATGAAGCATTTCAAAAGTGTTCTCCAAATAATATACTACAACCAATCCTAAGCAATTTTTTTTTTTTTTTGGAAAATTAGTCTTAAAAGAAAAAATATAAAACAGAAGTTATCTTAAGGAAATGCACAGACACAGGTAAAGCTATGTATGGTGGCTACAACACCCAGAGAAGACTTCCCTAATAACAACAGCAGCATTTACTGAATATTCACTGGGTCCACGGTCCTGTAGTTAACTATTAAACAGAGACTGGTCCATATAAAAGACCCAAGAAAATATACAGCTGTCTTGTTTTGACTATCACAGTAAAATTTATTCCATAAAATAAAAGCACACTGTGCATAAGCAAAGATCAAACGCTGTAATAGATTTTTAAGAAAACATTTAGCACCCACTGTATTATTTAAAATGTGAAGATTGTGAACTTCTCTTCTAGTTCAATCTTCATAAAATTACACATACTACACCTCAGGGTAAAATCTAACTTTAAAAAGAGTTGTAACATCTTTCAAATAAATCCAATTCAGTTTGCGGGAAGATTAAGTTTCACTTTATATTTGGGCATATCTTTTTCTTGAATCACTTGGCACATCTGTGGCCAGAAACTCTATTTACTAAGTAAACCAAGGAACTTCTTCCCTCCAAGGGCTGGGACAAAGTTTCCTACACAAAAACCTTCCTGTGTAAGTGAAACCTGTCATTCTCCCAGCAAAGGATAATTGAGATTAGAGAGTATATAAAACAAAAATACAAAAATATTACCCAAATTATTTGTACCACATACAGGTTTGAAACCTGGCCATCTAAGATACTAACTAAAAAGACTATTATTGTTCTTAACTTAGAGAAATCAGACAACACATCATGATTCTCATGTTGCCTTCTTGCACTAACCTAATCTGACAAGTGAGACAAATTGTTCATTGGGAAGATGTTTACACTGTGCTTCAGTATAATTTGCTTATTCTTTAGTAGGGGAGAAATGTTGAAAATAGAACATTCAGTCTTTCTGGCAGTTAATCAACAGTGATAAAACCTTACATTTCCTAACAACTACAAATTCCCTAATTAACCATTTTAAAAATGCAATAACCAAAACCATTAAACCATTATTTGCTCTAGTTCATTGTTATTTATTTACATAGCTACCTTTCTCCTAGACAATCAACGTTAGCCAAAGATGCCTTGTTGGTGACAATCCTATTCAGTTTTTATTTATTTATTTAGTGAAGGGTTTTCTCAGCAGCCAGTTACCACATGGAGCTTTTTCACAGTTTCAAAAAAGTTTTCCTCATTTTAAAACTGCAAAAAAATGTACACTTGATTGCATTTCCAAAAAAAAGTTCAATCAATCTTTTAGCATTTTTGTAATATAACTTCAAATATGTAATGATTTAATTAATACAATACTCTTAATAAAACAACAACAAACCCAAGTGCTAAGGCTAGACACAGTGGCTAACACCTGTAATCCCAGCACTTTGGGAGGCTGAGGCAGGCAGATCACAAGTTCAGAAGTTCGAGACCAGCCTGGCCAACATGGTGAAACCCTGTTTCTACTAAAAATACAAAACTTAGCTGGGCATGGTGGCATGCACCTGTAATCCCAGCTACTCAGGAGGCTAAGGCAGGAGAATTGCTTGAACCTGGGAGGCGGAGGTTGCAGTGAGCCAAAATCGTGCCACTGCACTCCATCCTGGGCAACAGAGTAAGGCTCCGTCTCAAAACAAAAAACAAAAAACAAACAAACAAACAAAAAACCCAAGGGCTAGCTCATTTCTGGTGCCATAAGTCATAACAGCACCACTTGTTTTTATATTTTAGTGATTAAATGTATACAGTTTTAGCACCAATCTACGAAAGTTAGATGTTAACAAAAATAAATTACTTGGCTTAATAGGAAGTAACAGTCTTAATAACCCCGTAAGTGAAGAAATTTGTTCCACTTGCTGCATCAAAGTGGAAAATAATAGTATTAAAGGGGGAAACAAAGGACAGCCTTTTAGTTGAGGCTTTTCAGTACGTGAATCGCTGAATTATTGAAGTCATGTTCCTTGGAAGTGTAGAATTATACCACATATAGAAGGTTCCAAGGAGCTATGTTGTTATACACTGTGTATGTCAGGATAGTCCACATTTAAGATGCTGAACATGGCTTAGCAGCCTTAAATATAAAAAGGAGGAAAACCAGAAAAAGTTATGCTAGTGATCAACTCCCATCCTTTAACCAAAAATCTGTCTTGTCACTTCATTTCAAAAAAAAAGTGAAATATTCTAAACAACTGACAAATTTTGACATAAAAACACATTGAATTCAGATTATCAGTTATTAGACACCATAAATACATGATTAAGAAGACAAAATAAAGTGCACCTTTACAGTATAACAAGAGACTCAGAAATCACATCCTAAATTGGCAATATAGATTGCAATATAGAAAGTATCTGACTAGCAAAGTTAGATTAAAAAATTTTCAGCTGAAAAATTAGTTTTTCAGTACATCAGAGGGACAAATAACCTTTTATTTGAAGGTATTAAATTTAGAGGCTTGTATATTTCAATTTTGTGTAGGAGAAAGGAAAGCCATTCTTCTAGAAGGCACTAACTGGTTTAAATGTGCGAGTGAGTTCATAAAGAAAACACGTGCAAAGTATAATCAAGAAGGCTGTCTGGTTCTTGTGTTGTATTCATTATTCTTCAGCATAGACTATGCATTATTGCTGAACAATTGTATCAGTCACCAGGTTTTCCCATAAGAGCTTTAGCGTGTTCAGTCCACAGTGTCGCAGATCTCCTTTACTTTCTGGTTGAATTCTTCTGGTTGATCTGCATATACATAATGTCCTGCCCCAAGAATAGCCTGGATAAGAAAAAGTATTCAGATGGTTAGTGAGTAAAAGCATTTAATAAAACATAATGATATATACTCAAAGATACTTAGTAATAAAAGTGAGAGCCACTATGTTTAAATAAAACACATGATAAAAAGTAATAACCTATAGTAAATGTTAAGTATTTCCATTAAAAGGATCTGAGAATAGAAAAATCTACTGAATCTTAGTACAATTTTAATATGCAAAAAACACTAAATTGACCACAAATAAATGGCCAACAGAGAAACTAAAAAAAGTGAGAGTGTGCTGCCTTGCGAGGTGGGAATTACCTAAGCTACTAGACCAGTACCTCTGTCCATCTCTCCTAATGCTGTGGTTCTAGGGACAGGAAGTTCACTCAGAAAGGTGGTTCACTGTTTGTACATGAAGATGTGCGCAGGCCAAACCCTGCATCCATCACATATACCCCGACTGAGGTTGCAAGTATAGCTCAGTTGACCTGCAACACGAGGATGACCTAAAAACCTCTTTTAAGAAAGATAATAAAACAGACTTCACCTATATCTAAAAAACCAAATCAAGCCACACACTTACTATTGTCTTCACATATGAATGTGGTCGTAATGACTGGATGCTGGTGCCAGAATTGCCATCTATGCAGGATCGGGCGCCAAAGATCACTGAAACTGGAATTTCAGGGTGCATTTTACCAATTCGCTGGAGCATTGGCCTTTTTGCCCATCCATAAGGAATAGTCATATTCTTGAAAGCTGTCTCACCACTTTAATGACAAGGAAAAATCACAATGTATGATTTTTGGGAATGAGTATGCATTGCACTGTCACTTCTATCAAAACACATTCATACTTAGCTTTTCCAGCACTTAAGAAAACCCTCAGCTTAAATAGAAAATAATTTACAAGACAGTTTAAGGAACAAGTTAGATAAGCAAGGCTGCTGTATGAACTAACTAAGTTTTCTTCTAAATCAAAATGTACAACCCCAATTCTCCATTATTATTTACTGTGGAGATAGCAGCTAAAAATATGTTTTTTCACCCTTACTTAAACTGATGTAGAAAGAAGGTAGCTTATCCCCAGGTTCATGGCACCAGCATTTCACCTGCAATGCCAAAACCATTATCAAGTTAAGAAGAAACTCAGATGATGTATTCTTGGGAACTCTCAGGATAGGTCTATTTTGCTGTTGCTCCACTATTCTTATAGAACTAGACATCATTCTAATTTGCCTTTTATGAAGAATTCAAGTCTCACCACAAGAAAGGTAACAAACTAGGACTACACGAACACATGTAATCATGAAATGAGAGCACATGAAGAGTAAAACTTAGACCGATCAGGAAATTGAATGAGGTTCCTGGGGCAGACCCCTAAAACAAAACTGTTGGAACAAATCAATAAAGTGTGTAGACCGAATCCACCAGACCTGACTGTCTAGCAAGTCACAAAACCTCAATCTCTTGAGGACCTTGAACCTCCAGCCTCCCTAACTCTTGGCAGAGAACCTCTAACCTACTTTATTAAAAAGACTGAGACTACAGCTACACCTATAAATAGCTGCCATGGCCTCAATCTTTTTAATAAAGTAGGTGTACATATTTTCTGCCAAAGTGAGGGAGGAAATAAAAGGGAGGGAGGCTGTCTCTGCATCTTGCCTCTTAGCCTTTCATCCAAACCTCAGGTCTTAGAAAGAATGAGATATCACTTCTCTGTCTTCATGTATGCTCCATGGCCCACCTACACAGAATCACCAGAGTATTTGTTAGAGATGCAACCCAGAAATGCTAATCTGAGTCTTAGAAATAAGCCTCAGGAGTCACATTTTAACAAGCACCCCCAATAATTCCAGTATACAACATAGCATGGGAACTGTGGCCCTCATCTTTGCACTCTATTCTTGATGCTCCTCCTAGAAACTTTAGGGCCTTATCATTCAGCCTCCTCCTAGCTCTCCACTGTCGTCAGTCTCTGTTTTCTCCACTGGTACTTTTCACCCAACATTCATAAGTCATATTTAAAAAAAAATACATTTGGCCCTCTTGCTCCCTCTGGCTACTATGCTCCATTCTCTTTCTCTCCTTCTAATCACTGTCAAAATACAGGCAGAATCCTTCACTTACTCCTCACCCTCTGCAGCTGCATTTCTAATGCAGACCTACAGATGTTTAGAGTTGTTCAGGAGTACAACCATCAAATGAACTTGAAAAATACTATAGAGGATCTCCCATTCACTTGGGAGATTCAATACCCTTCAGTGTAGTAAAGGTTATAAGAGGATTAATAGTAAAGACAACCACTTACTTTTGTTTAATCCAGCACCCTTTTCTCTCTCTCTCTCTCTCTCTCTCTCTTTTGATGAAACATTTATATTCAGTTTGGGAAATATTTCTTTAAATGTGAAATTCCTTAATTCTCAACTCAAACCATCTCCTGGAGATGCCCAAGATCAATGCTTCCTTAACTTATTCATAAGAATTTGGGGGGGAAGCGTGAACATCTTACTTTTTAATCTCCCATCAGAACTCAGCACATTTTTTTATACAGGAGGTACTCTAAGAATAGATGAATAAATTAAGACATATTAGACATTTTGTCCTTTTAAATTCATTTAACTACTGATAAAAATCTTCTGAAACACTGATATATTTTCAAAAAAAATAGTATAAAACACACACACACACACACACACACACACACACGGTAAATTTACACTCCTAACCCTCACCTTGGAGTCTGCACATTACAGTGGTAGATGTATTCTGTCACAGTATCGTCCTCAAACATTGAAGAATACTTCCGTTTGAAATCTGGCCTTAAACGCTGCACTAGACTTAAACCTATTTAACAGGAAATTAAAACATGTATGTTTTAAATTATAATTAACTTATCAACTAAATAATATAGAGTTTTAGTGCTTGCCTGTGTAATGAGTGTTATGTGCACACATACCTATAAATATATATTGCAGGTGGGAAAAAGCACACATTCTGATAGCTGTCCTCCTCAAGTTCCCCAAGGAAATATTAATATAAAAATTAAAGAGTATCGTATTTTGACTTACAGATGTGCTTTAGGGCCTCAAAAACATTTAAGTTAGAAGGCCAATGAGTAGCTCATACATAAAATTAATGTATTAACTTGTATTTCTTCCATAATTATAACACATTAGCATCTAAATGAAGTAAATTAGTATATATAAACTTTTCTGTATGAAAATACATTCAGTTTCTTCTTGGGACACTAGGAAGACTCCCTGCTAAGGTCATCCATGGTGGCACCCACAACCCCACTCTAGAAAAAGTCCAGGGCAAAGCCCCCAAGGGAAAGAGGATGAAGAGCAGAAGCTTTCTTCTAGTCACAATTTTTCATTCTGAGGCCACAGAGACTGACTGGTCTCCCTTTCTGCTGCCACTACCCCATGACTCCAGCAAGGCTTTACTTCTCTACTTGCCCTTTAATCCCATCTCTGAGGAATTATACAGCTCCACCAAGAAATTCTGTCATGCAGTTGATTCTGTATCATCGCCCCACCCTCAAGTGCAAGCAATAATGGGAGGCTGAGGGCATGGCTTTAAAGAGACTCTCCTAGGTGTCCTCCCTTGCCCATCACTGTCTCCTAATTTCTCTTCATACTTTACTTTTCCCATAATTGTTATTTGTGTGCCTGTGATCTAGTAAAATCCATTTATATTTCAAGACTATAAAGACTAAATGAAGCTCTTAAGTAGTTTACCAGAGGAGGACCAGGCATATAAGGAGTGGCTCTACTGGGGAGGGCTAAAAGACTTCAGGTAGGCAAAATGTGCCATCTGCTGAGGGAGTAAAGTGTGGTCACCAATTCAACCCCCCTACCCTCCTCTAAGTCCTGCAGTTCCACTGCTCTCCCAATCCAAAGAGAAGGCACTAGGACCAAAAGGGGCCAGGGCTGGGCAAAGGAGAACAGAATTTATAGTCACCTGCATGACAGTTAATCCCATACCCTCATCCACACCCCCATGCCTCTTCTCTTTTTTTCTAACAGAACCCATCTTTTTTTTTTTTTTTTTTTTTTTTTCCTGAGACAGGGTCTTGTTCTGTTGCCCAGGCTGGAGTACAGTGGTGCGCTCTCAGCTCACCACAACCTCCACCTCCTCCCAGGTTTGAGCAATTCTCATGCCTCAGCCTCCCCAGTAGCTGCAATTACAGGTGTGTGTTACCACGCCTAGCTAATCATTTTATATTTTAGTAGAGACGGGGTTTGCCATGTTGGTCAGGCTAGTCTTGAAGCCTGGCCTCAAGTGATCTGCCAACCTCAGCCTCCCAAAGTGCTGGGATTACAGGTGTGGGCCATGGCAGCTGGCTAGAACCCATCTTTTCTGTAGTATCAATTAGGCAGCAATGTGCCCAGGAAAGCAGGCCCTGGGAACAAATCATGACTGATTAGTCATAGAAATTTCTTCTTTGCTGGTGGAAGGACTAGGAGTGTACAGAGACATAATGGGAGGTCGGCTGGGGCCTTCCAGGGAGAATTTTCTTCCCTGACAAAGCATTATGGAGAGAAGGACCATTTTCCATGCTATTCCTTCTTTTTGCTCAGGATGCTGTTTTGTGAGATGGTGCTTAATGCCATGGCAGGCATCAAACCCCATGAGGAAAAAGGTCAAGAAAATCACAGACACAGACCCAAACCTTAACATCAATAAGCAAACAACTAGAACAAGTGCTAAAACCTATCTCCAGATTGCTTCTTAGGGAAATAATAAAAGGCCTTAAATTTAAGCCACTGGGTATTCAATTACTTACAACTAAAAGTACTCCAAACTCATACAAGTTGTACGGGGGAAAGGCCGAGGGTCAAACCATCATTATCTGTGACAGTGAGGGAAGGAAATTCCCATGGCTATGGGGCTAGACAGAGCAGCTGAGAGTGAAATAAAAGTCAATCAGGAACTAAACACTGGTACCTCAAAATATGACCAGAAATATGTATCAGGAGTCTCCAAAATGTTGTGGAAAAAATATCTTTCCAACGTTCTGGATAAGGGAAATCTGTGAGTGTGGTGGTATCTTTTATCCCCAGGGGATCTACCAAATGGTATCATCAATTGGCCAAATGCTCTCCAATGCTCACCAGCAGGGTAACATGCTACACTTCTCCCAGGTGCTGGGCTAGCAGAGCTCCTTATATACTCCCCAAAACACTCTGCTTGCCTGGCTTTTTTCAGAGTATTCAGGACTGACTAAGGGCATCCTCAGCATTCCCCTCCTTCTCGCTTTACTAATTACTTATAATGTTTCAATATAAAGACTCCCCTTTGAGGAGAAAAGCCTAGTTGCAATCCTCTTTGTGCAAGACATGGTACTTATTAAAGGAAGAGGATAAAAAGGGTTCAGTCTTGTTTGTTTTTAAGATTTTGACTAATGATAGTGAATACTCCTCTACTGATAATCTATAAACATTTTGCTTTCTTAGTACATAAGCACTCACCAAAGGGTCCTGCAATCCTTAGGCCAGCTAAAGGGTTAAAGGGAGTCAATATTGCTCCCAAGGCTCTGATCCAAACTGGAATTGGTCTGTCTTGATCAGCAAGGTCTGGTCGTTCAGGGAAACCCCAAGGCTCCACTAAAATGAGATGATTAACCCTGTTGGGGGAAAGAACAGATTTAAGTTCATTTGGTAAAATCACCCTAAGACTATAAAGAGCTAACATGATTTATAAAATAAAGGTAGAGTAAACCACCTTCAAAAACCTTCACGTTAAAGACTAGTGGCTAAAGAGTCATATCATGCTCTTATTCTGTGTAAACTTATGTAGATCACTAGCCACTCAGAAAAATCCAAAGACTCTATGTATGTCAAGGTTGACAAAGCAAAAATGGCTCAAGATCACTATCACATTCTTATAAAATAGCCTCATATACCAAAAATCATCATCTCCCATGAATCAAACATCCTAAAAATTTAAGAGAAGTTAAGGACTTAAAGTGGGTTCAAAAGTGCTTTAAATGAACTTTTCATAAACATAAAGATAACATAAGGTGGACTGAAAATACTCCCTATTTTGGGATTCTAGAATTGTTGAAAAGGAACATGTCTGTCTACCTTACCCATGGTATCACGCTATACTGACATTAGATTCTGTTCCCAATTCTTCCCCAATTTTCTTCTTCATTGACCAAGAGATAGAAAATCTTCAGTACCACTTCATATAAAATTATTTCATATTGTTAATAATTTTAATATTTCCATCTTATGAAACTTCTTCCCACTGAAGGAAAACCAGAACTATCAGCAGTACTTCCACGTAGCTGCATCATGCTTTATACTTCATAAAGGTTCTAAACGAAGTACAAAGATCCTTCTGACACAAAACAATGTTCAGCTGTAACCAAACCAGCCAAGAATCTCCAAAAAATCTCCCAGCCAAAAAATCTCCCAAGGATAAACTGACAATGATTCTAAAGTCTTTTCCTAAGTTATAACTGAAACAGAAAGGCAAAGAAATGAAAACATGGGCACAGATGGTATTATTCCTCATATAAAATCTATTCAATTATTGTTGTCAGTATACATAATGAGTTAGTAACAGGTCCATACTCTGATTGCTTTTTTTTTTTTAAACACAGAAAGCTTTAGAGCACAGAGCTCTATGATTCCTTGGGGAATACTGGGTCCAATCTTTCATCTCAGACCAGAAGGAAGCTAAGATATACTATGTGGCCTGCTCTGGTATATAACATTAGTTCATGTAGAACTAAGGCTGAAACCCACATTTCTCTACTCCAGCATGCTAACAGATGCCAATAAGCAATTTCTAAACATAGGCTAATCAACATAAGATAGATGTATTAGTAAAGGTAAAACTTAACCTTTATCAACTCTCAAGGCCAGTCCTAATACTATATTCTATATTTCATAGCGCTGAGAACATAGGTAGAATATAGTCATAAAGATGTATGAAGATATGTGATAAATGAGTTTCATATAATTATGAAGTATACCTTCACAGTCTAAAAATTTCATATGAGAATATTTTATAACAGCATATCAGAAAGAGGTTGGAAATGAGTGTTTTGCTTTGTTTTTTAATGGCAAAAACTATCTCTTATATTTTGACCACCTCCTGAATTCCTTCTATTACAGCCCACAGTAAGATCTGGGGAAGGGGAAGGGGAAGGGAGAGGCCTAACAGAGGTATGAGTGGAACTAACAAGACAGACACCTAGTTGAAAGCAGCAAAGATTCATGTTAAGAAACAGTCACTATTTTTCACTATTGACTTACCTCCTAAGGAAAAAAATGAACTCTTTATTAAAACATACCCTACCCTAAGCAAGTGTTAAATTTTTGTCATAAATTTGTTAATGAATCTTGCTCAGTCTGCTCTAGGCTCTTTCTGACCTGCTAACTCAAAAACAAGGAGGACAAAGAAAAACTTGACGGAAGTCTCATCTATCTCTAGGTAAGTGACTGTTTTTGCCTTAGTTCTGGCTTGCCTTTAAAATATCATCTTCAAAATTTCATCCCTAGGTGAAAATGTCAGTTTAACAAATTATGCAAAGTATATATACTAAGGCAGATGACCTCTTTTGTTTCTTTTTGAAAAGGAGCAAACTGTCCCTACAATTGCTCAATTCTGTCTTCATAACCTAGCATGATGCTTAGCACATGGCAGATGCTTGGTAAACATTTGGGTTAATATGCTTTTCTACATTTTCTTTTGGTCCTAGGCTATTAAGGATATACAAATTTTATAAAGCATAATCATAGCATAAGCATATCCAGCTAACTATTTCTAGATGACATCAGAACATCACTGCTATTTATTAATCTCATTATTGGGTAATAAAATCCATTTAGGTGGTCAAGAACCAGTCTAGTTTTTTTTTTTAAATAAAATTATATTGTTTGGAATAGAAAAATAAATCATAAGCATTGAATATTGGCCACAAAATTGTATTAATATATGTATGCGTAGGTGTCTGAAACAAGTTTTGTGGGGTGATACACTTAAATTTTTCTATTCCAAACAATACAGAAGGGCCATAGTCAAAAAAGTTTGAACACAGTTTTTTAAAACTCTACAACATCTAAACTGTAGTTAACTGTAGTTATATATCATCTGCTTCTACATGTAAAGACCCCAGAAAATAGTTTTCCTTATTTTTGGTTGTAAAGATTTTAAATAAGATAGACCATGCAAAGCACTCAGGTTGGTGGCTATCAAATGCTAAGTATTCAGTAAATGTAAGCTAGTTACAGTAGGGTGAATAGGAAGACTACAAGAGTAGAATTAATTCCAGGGAAGATGGAAAGACAGGCTTTTATTCTTCAGAAGGGCCTGATCACCGGTTACTATAATATTACACCAGACCAAGGTCCCAGGCTATCTTCTAACCTCCTCTTTTAGTAAAAATATTATCTCCTCACTTGATAGGAGTTACTGGTTTTAATGTACATCTGAACTATTATAATTTATCTAAACCCTACTCTTTTATATTCCAGAGAAAGCTCCCTGCTGGGATTGTTAGTTCACATCTAGGGTAAAGAATGGGTCCAACCAGACAGCACATGTGAGTCATCCTATTAGACATCCTTGTCAAGAACCAGAGACTGGTTTAAACCACAGGAAAAACAAAGAATCAGCAGAGCAAGAACAACAGAACAATGCATCAGTTTTGAAATATAAAAAGGCATTCTTTTTAATGTTAGTCATTAGAATTGGCCTTGAGTTTGAAGATGGTGAGCAGATTATATCCTTAAGGGCAAAGCAGTGGACAACACCTGCACCAACACACTGGTACCTGATTTCACTTGGTCTAAATGCTAACAAGGGTAGATAAGCCTGACCTTCAATGGGATTTACAGACAACCACCAGTCAGAAATACTGCAATAAGAACAATCATCAGGCCAGGCCTGGTGGCTCACACCTGTAAACCCAACACTTTGGGAGACTGAAGCAAGTGGATCACTTGAGGCCAGGAGTTCGAGATCAGCCTGGCCAACAAGTCAAAACTCTGTCTCTACTAAAAATACAAAAAACTAGCAGGGCATGGTGGTGCAACCTGTAATCCCAACTACTCAGAAGGCTGAGGCACGAGAATCGCTTGAACCCAGGAGACAGAGGTTGCAGTGAGCCCAGATCGTGACATTGCACTCCAGCCTGGGAAACAGAGGGAGATAATGTCTCAGGAAAATCAGACCTAGAACCAAAATGTATAAGGGAGTCTTAAAAAAATGATCAGAAAGAATTCTAGTCAATGCACAAAGGAGGCATTTGCAAAATGAAGGTAGCCCAAGGTATTTCCCATTGGCTCCAAGCCACTGGAGGGAGAAAAGGGAAGGGTCAGAGAACAACAAACTAAATACCTCCAACTTCAAGAACAGCTTTTCCTAGAACAGCAGGGGGGCCAACAAAAATTGCTCAGCTCAGTTCTGTACAATCAGAAGACAGAGCCAGGCAAAAGAAAAGTGTTCAAGATAAAATTATCTAAAAACCTTTTGCAAGAGAAATAAAGACTAGTCATAACCTATCCTACTTGGAATAGATCTCTTTGCTAAACACTTTCTAAGTTAAAGTTACTAGAATCTCATTTTCCTTAGTTTATAACAAATATCTTCAAAACACAGTGTTTGTATGGGGTCCTGGGCAGCAGGGACCAGAAGGAAAGGAAAATTAAGAGAGAAAATTGGGCTGGGTGCAGTGGCTCATGCCTGTAATCCCAGCACTTTGGGAGGCTGAGGAGGGTGGATCACTTGAAGTCAGGAGTTCGAGACCAGCCTGGCCAACATGGCAAAACTCCACCTCTACTGAAAATACAAAAATTAGCCAGGTGTGATGGCAGGTGCCTGTAATCCCAGCTACTAGGGAGGCTGAGGCAGGAGAATCACTTAAACCCGGAAGGCGGAGGTTGCAGTGAGTCGAGATCATACCACTGCACTCCAGCTCTGGGCTGCAGAGCAAGACTCTGTCTCAAGAAAAAAAAAGAAAAAGAAAAAACTGGGCAGATATATGAAAGAAAGGTAATAGTATACATGGCTATTACTGCTTTACTCTTCCTTATGACTTCCTTATGAACAGAAGGTTTTACAGAATGGTAGCCCAAGATACCTCACACAGTGAGCGATCCTAGATATTAATCTACTAAAGAAATTATAGATGGCATATCTAATTATTAGACATTGTGGCAAGAGAACTGAGATGAACTAAAGTTATTTTTTGGGAAGAAGCATGGAGGATATGCCTTCATTTAGAGTCATCTACTAATCAGTTCATAACTTCTCTGCTCACCAGCCATCTGCCCTTCCAGAATAGCCCTGGCATCTGCCTAGCATACGGCCTTCACAATTTCTGTCCCACTGCCTAGAATGCACTTCTGTTACCTGCTATTCCCCTTTGAGACCTCAGCCCAAGCTACACTTCTTTAGGTACCATACTAGACCTCAAGACTAGGTCAGGTTCTCACCAAGAGTTCTCTCAGGAGTTCACCACCCACCTTTCCGCTACAGCATTTGACACAACTGTCATGCTACTTGTGTGGTTATTTAATTTGTGTACCTTCCCCCAATACACTGTAAGCCTTATACACAAAGGGATTCTAGCTTTGTTCCCCACTGCCCACCACAGAGTCCAGCACAAAGGTTATACCAGGCATATATATGATGAATGAACAAAGGACATGATGAAGCACAGGGTCATTATTTTAATTAAGGTATGTTAATACCATCTGTTTTTAAAAGAACTGCTAAAATTTATAATGTGACTGGAGCTCAGCTGCCTCTTTAGACATTTTCTTTGTAAAGAAGAGGATTAAAACAAAATGGCTCAAAACACAAAGTCACTCAGTATTATTTGAACACAACCAATCTACTGGAATATGACATTAAGAGTATTTCATTAACCACCAATATTTCAATGGAAGAATCATCCAGGTACTTTAACATAAAGTATCACAATTGTTTAATATTCAGTTTTTTTTGTTGTTGTTTTTTTTTTTTTTGAGACAGAGTTTCGCTCTTGTTACCCAGGCAGGAGTGCAATGGCGCAATCTCGGCTCACCGCAACCTCCGCCTCCTGAGTTCAGGCAATTCTCCTGCCTCAGCCTCCTGAGTAGCTGGGATTACAGGCACGCACCACCATGCCCAGCTAATTTTTTGTATTTTTTTTTTTAGTAGAGACGGGGTTTCACCATGTTGACCAGGATGGTCTCGATCTCTTGACCTCGTGATCCACCCACCTCGGCCTCCCAAAGTGCTGGGATTACAGGCTTGAGCCACCGCGCCCGGCCTAATACTCAGTTTTTAATCAGCATCAACTTCTGATGAAAATATGGAACCACTGCCACAAGTTAGGCTATAAGATGACCTTTTTGGACAGCAGCGCTTTGCTGCTCACAGAAATGATCCACCCACACTGACCTAATGTACCAAAAGTTGGCAAAAATTGATCAGCTTTTATTTGTTCTTTAGAGTAAGAATCCTGCTTAAACAGGTACATTAAACTAGACATTTTCATCCTTCTCCTCAACTGTCCTATAAAAGTAACAAATGGAAAAATGCAGCTGCCCATAAAAGACAAGGACTGAAATAGGTATGAGAGAGAACACGAAGTCCCAACAAATAAAATAACATTGTTTTTGTATTTTTTCCCTCCATGCATAAAACAGAAGTAAGGAGCCGTCATTTTACTTAAAAGAAAAAAATAAAAATTATATTTGCAACACCTGAGGAAGCAAAGGAAAAGGTAACATTCTCAGCTAGGCGCAGTGGCTCATCCCAGCAATTCTGGAAGCAGGAGGATCATCTGAGGCCAGGAGTTTGATGCCAGCCTGGGTAACACAGTGAGATCCCCATCTCCACACAAAATTTAAAAAGTTACCTAGGCATGGTGGCACACCTGTGGTACTAGCTACATGGGAGGATTGCTGAGCCTAGGAGGTCAAGGCTGCACTGAGCCATGATTGTGCCATTGCACTGTGCAACAGAGTAAGACTCCAACTCTATGAGAAAAAAAAAGGTGACATTCTCAAAGTCCATTATCGAAAAAAGAGAGAGAGACAAAAGAGGCACAGTGAGTGTAAGCAATGATCTGAATTTCACTTGATCTCCAGACCACTTTTTCCCTCCTCGCACCACATCTCTCCCACCCACCAAAAGTCTTTCTGAAACTCAAAGATTCATTTCAATCTCATGACAGCATAATAAAAATGCTACTGGATCAAAAACAAGCTGGATGAGGCACTGAGTAGGCAGTTCAGTACCTGCTTGTTGATACCAAGCGGATTGCTCTGTTGCGCCAGAGAAAATGTGTATGTGCTGCAAAGAAGCTTCTTTAGCTCAGGTGAAACGTTCCAGATCACACAGAAGGCAACCCTGACAACTACCCCATCTGCTTAGTGGGAATGCCAACTTCAAGAAACACCAAACACTAAACCTCACTTAATATGAAGTTTGCTATAATGGTGAACACTTATAGTACTCGGTCAGCTTAATCCTGTTTAATGTTTGGATCTGTGAGTCTACTGAACTATTAACTATTAGATCATCTATGTAAATTTGTACAAATTTGCCCAACCAGGATCAAGCAGAAAAAAAAAATCCTTTTAAGTAAAAAATTAACAAACATAAGCAACATTATTAGTAATATGAATATACATGTGGATAGCAAGACCCAAGGATACCAAAGGAGATGATGCACCTTGCAGAAAACACAAGAGATACTCATTTTTCCCTGTCCTCTCCATTTAAAGAGAAGGGCTTCCAGGGAAGCCATCCTGAAAAGCAATGAAGGAAAAAAGCTAGGGAGAAGGGGAAGCCTGTGAGATTGTTAATTTTGGTCTTCCTATATTATGTGCTACAATGGGGTATTATCTGGTCTATTAGGATGGGAAGAAAAAAATAAACTATAAAATTTTACTTTTATTTAGTAGATTTAACACACTTCTAAACTAAAGTTGTTGGTTTAAATGGCTGGTCAATTTGTTTAATTCTATAAAATATTCATATGTTATATATATGTAAATGTTAGAAGAAACACTCTCACTAATATCTTTCTCTCACACATACATATAGAATGATCTCTTCATTTCCACTGTTAAGTTGTTTTTATGATATAATAACTTAAGATGTAGACTAACTAGGCAAAAGGCATAAAATTGAAATATCTGCCTGCTTATGCTTGCATATCTGAAACTAATTTCTCCCCCAACAATAAATTAGAAAGGTATGATATGACCAGCTCCTATCTCTTGATACTTCTATGCAAAATGGAAAAAGAACAGAGAAAAGAACATACAATTGTAAGCTAAAAGTTGAACTTAGCTTATAATTCTCTTTCGCAAAATCACCTATTCAAGAAACATTTACTAGGCAGCCATTATGTGCCAACCATGGTGTTCTGACTGACTGGACATAATCACAATTTGATATATTTGCAAATCCAGAAGACATTATTTTGACGTTAACCTGTATTTAATAATTTAAGTTTTATGCCGTTAAGAACATAAGCTTGAATATTGAACACGCTCTGTACAGTTCAAAATTTTGTTGGCAACCAGCCAAATTTAGACAGACTAATTATTTCAAGCATGCTCTTATCCATCTACTGCTACAACTTATTCTCGGTCCTGACACAGTACTCTAGTTTTGTTTCTAGCATTAGATGCAAACATTCAAAAACCAATCGCTAGCTTTGTTTCTAGATACCTTTTGCTATTCTCATTTATAGATGTTTTTAAAGTGTTGATTCCCTTCTGAATCCCTGAAGCCCCCCTATTCCTTTATAGAAGTTCACAATTGCAAATGAAACTCTTACCAACTGACCTAATCGGTAGAGAGCTATGAAGGGTTAGGATTCTAAGACTAACCACTTAATGACCAAGGTCTATCCTACAGAGTTCCATGTCACATCACCAGAGAATAAATACCACAAGACAGACACAAACGTAATAAACACCTGACAAAAAACAAAGCAAGTTCAACTCCCACAAATAGCCCTGTTGACTTGTACCGGAAAAGCATCTACTTCCTTCTCCTTTCACCATAAATACAGAGAGGTGTTTGTCACTAAGAGTAGGACACAATAAAAGAAAGTAACCCCAAAATGCCAACCAGGAGAAGAAAATTTGGGTTTCTTTTTAAAGACACAGGTCAGCCAGTTGACAGGACTGTTACTGTCTAACACATACAGGACTATGAGATCAGAAAAATCAGGTGTAAATGCTAAAGTTTAGATAAAGACTCTATAGAGAAAAAGTGGCTGTTCCAGAGGAAGAGAACCTCAGGTACACAGGGCTGCTGCTTCTCACATCAAATTCTGTGCTGAACACACACCTAGAGTTACACAATGGGGTAATCTTATAGGCACATACAGCACTCTGAAATTACCATCATCCCATGTCTCACTTACAGACCTCAAAGTCAAAATCAGTTAATCCAATGGAAAAACACATTGGCAACACAAAAATGCTGTATTCCTTTTTTGTTATTTCTTTCCAAAAGATGAGCAAAACAAAGATGAATTTTTCTCCTATTTTCTCAGCACTTAAATGTGACCTTCTCTCAGAGTAGTAACATAAATAGTAGAAAATAGCATTTAAAAATAAAGAGGCTGGGTGCAGTGGCTCACACCTGTAATCTCAGCACTTTGAGAGGCCAAGGCAGGTGGATCACCTGAGCGCAGGAGTTCGAGATGAGCCTGAACAACACGGCAAAACCCCATCTCTACTAAAAATACAAAAATTAACTGTGTGTGGTGGCATGAACCTGTAGTCCCATCTACTCGGGAGGCTGAGGTTGGGCCCGGGAGGTGGAGGTTGCAGTAAGCCAAGATCATGCCACTGCACTCCATCCTGGGTGACAGGTGGGATTCGTCTCTTAGAAGAAAAAAAAAAAGATAAAGAAAGAAGATGATGCTAGAAAGACTTTGAGGCAAATTCTCATTAATTCTATGTTTTATAATGAGAAAGCTTAGGGCATGGTATAATAAAAAACCCTGGGATATATACTATGAAGTTATATTTTCTATAGTTTAGATAAAAGAAAACTAAAGGTTAGAGGGTAAGTGATTTGCTCTAAGTCATAAAGCTAGCACTAGCACCTAGATCTTCTAACCTTCTGGTTTCCCCTTACAGCTTACTATAACTTAGAAAACATTAGCCAAAGCCTGCTGGATCCACAGGTTTAATGATAATAATAATAATAAATTATTTTTACTTGTGGCTTAAATTATACATTAAAGTTTCTACAATTCTAAGCTTAACAAACAGAAAGTCCTTTCCCAAGCCTATTAAAGTGTAGCATGTGTAATAGGAAGATCTGACATCATTATGTCAGCTACTATATTGGTCATCAGTTGTGGTTTGGTCTATAGGGTCCTTTAAGAGAACATCTGTCTTGTAATGCTCAGACATTAACAACCACCAAAGATGGGAACTAGAGTCTGGTACTAGGAAGCACGGTTATAATCCCTCTCTTCTGTCACCATCACTTACCTTGATGGGTACTTCAGTGAGTAAGCAGCAGCCAAGAATCCACCTAGGTTGTGCCCAAGCAAGATCATTTTGTCCAATCTTAGGGCACATCTCCACTCTTCAATAGATTCCACAAACTGATTCTCCACTTCTTCTGCGTCACTGTCAAACCTGGGTCTACTACTTCGTCCAAAACCCAGTAGGTCAAAAGCATAGACAGGTCTGTTGGTGCAAAGATCTCCAAAGTTCAGTGCCCAAAGCCCAAGACCTCCTCCAAAACCATGGAGAAGGACAAGCGGAGTCTTATTTGAAATATTATGAGAGAACTTCAGTGTCCATATTTTATTTCCATTAGATATACAAACAGGTTCCTTTTTGTATGTGCAAGGGACACCTAATGAAAAATAAAAGGGAAATTCTGTTTCATTTTATTACTTCTGAGAAGAGTATTCTCAGAGCAACCAAAATATACAAACCATCTAGTATCCAATCTCATGATTTTAGCCTTTATTGTCAGCTATTTTTAAAAAGCACATATTTTATTGAATAATTCTAAATGACCGTGTTTTATACTTAAGGGGGAGGACCTACCTCAGACAAGCCTCAAGTAACCTGTGGTCAAGGTCTTTGGCAAGTCATATTACCTTCTGACTTCAAATGAGGGTATTATACTCCTAGAAGTGGAGAGGAACTTAGTGGTTACTGAATCCATTATTTTAAGGTCTCTAGCTTTACAGACAATTTGTAGAATACTGCAAGTGTCCCACAATTTCAAGGTGATATTCTTTCGTTAACTTTGAGTTGAAGTCAGACTCAAAGGCGTTATTTTTCCTTAAAAAGTAATCATGAATTTAGGAATGGATTAATGGTATCTATATTAAACACGTAAGTGAAATCTTAAGTCATTTCAAAGTTTAGTAAAAAAAAAAAGTTGACAGACTATTGTAGGAACTCCTCAGTATGACACACTTGGTAATTTGAGTCCAACTCTAGCAATCTCTCAGGAAAAGCAAATAATCACAATGTTATAGATCAAAACTCTTTTTTACCTTCAATGCTGTGGGACTAAATACTTTAAACACTCCAAAAAATTGCTTAACAATGAAACTAAATTTAAAATTAATTTATATTTAATTATTAACTGAGTGCTGCACTTTAGATATACTCCTTAATTATTTAAGCATATTCATATGCAGTAGACAAAACAGTGGAGAAACAGGAGTTTCTACCTTATAACCAAAGAAATAATCTAGGGTTTTGCATCCACAAAGTGGCAGCAAAGAAGAAACCTAACATTCATTCAGAATATTAAACAGAGCACATGCCCTCAAGTTGGGGGAAATGCTACTAGTTTAGAAAAGGGGATGCTTTGGTTTACATGCCAAGCCAAACCACTTCAGCATTTTGAATACACACATCTGTATATTCCCATAAAAACCATCTGTAACATCTATTACAGTACTCATCCCACTATATTAGTAGCTTACTTTCATGTCTGACACTAAAGCAGAGACTAATTCACACTCCTATTTGCATCCCTAGAACCAAAAGGTAGGGAATCAACATGCTTGTTAAATGCATGAATTGAGAATCTAGCACCCCTTTTTATCTCCTGGTAAGAATTTTTTTATTTTAGTAAATCACAATGACAACTTTTTCAGTTTTGTAGAGAGCAAGTTTACCGAAGTATATAGAATAGAAGTTCATTCTCTTGTTAAAAACCCAGGTAACGACCGGGCACGGTAGCTCACGCCTGTAATCTCTGCACTTTGGGAGGCTGAGGCGGGTGGATCACCTGAGGTCAGGCCAACATGGTGAAATCCTGTCTCTACTAAAAATACAAAAATTTGCTGGGCATGGTGGTGGATGCCTGTAATCCCAGCTACCTGAGTGGCTGAGGCAGAAGAATCACTTGAACCCGCAAGGCAGAGGTTGCAGTGAGCCGAGATCATGCCACTGCACTCCAGCTTGGGTGACAGAGCAAGACTCCACCTCAAAAAAAAAACCGAAAAATCCATGTAAGACAGCTAATTATCCTTTCCTAAGGATATATCCAGTTATGGTCACTTACTCCTGAATCATTAAAATGCACAAATTTATTAGTGGTAAAGAGAATGAAAAACAGGCATGGGGCCGGGCATGGTGACTCATGCCTATAATCCCAGCACTTTGGGAGGCCGAGGCAGGTGGATCACGAGGTCAAGAGATCAAGACCATCCTGGTCAACATGGTAAAACCCCGTCTCTATTAAAAATATAAAAAGTAGCTGAGCATGGTGGCGCACACCTGTAGTCCCAGCTACTTGAGAGGCTGAGGCAGGAGAACTGCTTGAACCCAGGAGGCAGAGGTTGCAGTGAGCTGAGATTGCACCATTGCACTCCAGCCTGGGTACCAAGAGCGAAACTCCATCTCAAAAAAAAAAAAAGAAAAGAAAAACAGGCATAGACAAACATCTGCACACACATACAAAGTAACACATAAATATGAACTGCACTACTGAATCCACTCCTTTAAATAGTATCAGCAGAACAAAATTGCAAAATAAATACCACTGCTTAGAACTATAATCACAGATACCTTGGAATGTCCTGATGGTACAAGTTTGGATAAATTTCAGTGCTCATAAGAAGGAAACAAAAAAGGCTTCCACACCACTATAAATACAGAATCCTAGAATGCTAGAACTAGAAGGAATTCTAAGGACCATCCTATCCCTTCAATTCACAAGAAATGAGAAGCTGAGCAAAGTGACTTGTCTAAGATCTCGTAACCACCAGTGGCAGATCTAGGCCTAGACCAAGTTACCTGGGTCCAGTCTAGTATTTCTCCCACCATACAGGCTGCTTGCTCTGAAACACCTAGAACCTGTTCTCAAAGCACAGTCTCAAGCATAGTCGGAGGGGGGGGTTGTCCCTGAGACTTTGAGAGGAGATCCAGGAAGTCAAAACCATTTTCATCGTAACACTTACAAGACTAAGACTTTGTCTTTTTCACTCTCATTCTCTAATAGGTATACAGTAGAGTTTTCTAGACGTCACCTATGTGATTACCCATCAGACTGAAAGCAGAAGCAGATACGACAATCTAGCAGCCTTATGTCAAGCTAGACATTAAAGAGATTTGTAAACATATAAACAATGTTACTCTTCTCATTACATATTTTTTAAAAGTATTTTTTTTTGTGTTTTTTGGTACAAACATTATTTATTTTAACATGTAATGGGTTTGTTACTATTATTTTTAAATAAATTAATAAATTAACATTTTTTATTATTCAATTTTAATTTTTAATTGAATTAGAAATGATAAATATTGATAATAAGCCCCAAAACAAAGCTCCCTGGGGTCCTTTCTAATTTAAGAGTATAACAGGGGCCCAAGCCCAAAAAGTTTTAGAACTCCTAACCACGAGCCCCTAACATTTCTGTACTTGCTAATGACATGGAAAAGGAAAATAGTTCTATTGCAAACAATAAACACACCACAGAATCTTATCTCTAGTTTCAGGGCAATGAGATAACGAGATATATTGGACCTATCTTAGTACACAGTTCATTGTAACTTAAAAGAAGAAAGCCTTACATTTTAACATCTTCTCTTCAGCTTCTTTAAGGTGTAGTGTAGATGTAGGGCACCATGTGGGGAGCCAACCAGTTAGCCATCCTGACCTAGGGCACAAAAAACAAAATGCAAAAAGGTGAGTTCATGCTCTTCTCAACTCCCAATTGTCACATGCTCAGGAGAAAAGCAGCACAGGAAACTTACTACCTGTGTGATGGTGAAGCTATGTGTGACAAAAGTGACCTATTATGTACGTAGCATGGTGGTAAGTACTGGGATACAGATATTCAACTTCAGCCTGTGTACTTATAAGTAGATCTCAAAGTCCATCTTATCTTCATAGTCAGATTCCAAATAAACAAAAAGAGGATAAAATGGACAGAACAAGAAAACACAAAAAATGCAAACCCCGCACTGTAAGACAGCATCTTATTGGAGTAGAAGTGCAAAAAAGTTAAAGACCATGAGTAGATTCATTTGAATGATAGTTTCAAAGTGAATATAAAAGGTACCTCTGTGGGGGTTGAGAAAAGAGACACCTTATTAAAATCTTTTTTGCAGGGAAAAAGGCTTCAAATCTCGTAAGAGTAGTCACATACCCCTAACACAAATGTGGGGGTCTGGCCTGTGTACAGTCTACTTAGGGTGACCTGGTTAACTGTTAATAGAAATATAAAAAGCTTTGGATTTCAGCAAACAGTAGATGAATAGAATGACCAAAGCATCTGTCAGAAGACAGCACAAGAAAGAACAAAGATGCAGATCTGAGGCAACTAGTGAGGAAAGGCATAGGGAGGCTGGAACTGACATACTTTGCTTGTAACCAACAAAGGAGAGGGTGAGCCTTCAACTCCTGGCCTGGCAGCCACAAACCAAAAGCTTATTATAATAACGTAGAGCCTCAGCAGTCATTTGACAGCAAGGGCTCAGCACATGGCTGGTATTATTTAAAATGAGAACTTTCTGATGAAAAAGAAATGAATTAGAAAAGTGAACTACAGCAGAGTCCAGATGAGAGGTAAGGGCTCAAACCAAGGCTTTGGCAATAGGGATAGAGACAAGAAGATGTGGTCAAAGAATATTTAAAAGGAAAACAGGTTGGATTTGATAATTGGTTGGATATAAAAAAGGTATAATAAGAGTTCCCAGCTTCTGTCTTAGGGTACCACTATAATGATAGAATACACAAGAGTAAGAATAGGTGTGAGTAGGAAAATGTGCTAAGTTTTGGAAGGGTTGTGATTCAACATCCAGCTTTTCTAACCTTTGTAGGTTCATCCTACAATATATCCCTTCCCTGTAGAATTTATATGGATATTATGTATAACAGGTGCTCAATAAATAATGTTTGCTGAATGATTAAGTCACTCATAATCCAGGGTATTCTCAGTCCAAATTATCCCCATTTCATAGATGTAAAAACTGAAGTTCTGAAATGTTAAGCACCAAGTCCAAGGGTATACAACTAGTAAGTAAATGACACAAGTAGAGATTTGAGTTTGATTCTGAGCGATTCCGAAGTGCTTTCTTCTCAAATGACTACCTTTCTTAAAATGTCTGAAGTGTTGCCCATTACCTACTGGATAAAGTCTTTATTTTTTCAGACCTGCACAGAAGGTACTTTTCAATCCGTCCACAGCCTACCTCCATCCCATCTTTTCTTTCATACATTATACTTTTTCCAGTACCTCATAGCTCTCAAATTTTCACAGGATTATGTGTCTTTATGGCTTTGCACAGCTCTTATAAATTACCAAGTCTCAGGTAGTTCTTTATAGCAGCATGAGAATGGACTAATACACAGGCCATTAAAATAAAAGAATCTCGTGATTTTTAGAGGTTAAAAATAATAAACTATCATTAACACAAAACTCTTTTGTCCTTGACCAGGCATTAGGTCTGTATTTAACCATAAAAATATGAAGTAGTACCAACAAGAAATTACTTACAACTCAATTTCATCCACTGACTTAAACAAACATCTCTCAAACCATATCACAATTATTTGCCACAGAGAATCAGAGGTCAATTAAAAAAAAATTACAGTGAAATGAACTATACTATTGCTCCAACTGATATTACAGACAAATTGGGGCAAAGAAAACACAAATGTATCCTTTGTTTCATCTTTTTTTAAAAAAAATGACATTCAAAAAATAATTCAGACTCTGAACACCTACTATGTACAAAGCACCAGAGTTTAACAAGTTATATATCAGCCTGTAATGGAAGAATCATGCCTACCTCCACCAACTTATCACTTTCCACAAAACCAGCTTTCAAACAACAGGACTGTCTGTCCATGGATTTGCCTCCTAGTGAACAGCTCAACTCAGAGAAGGGGCAAAACATGTTTTCATGTTTGTAAGCTTAGTGCATTACATTAAAAAGCAGGGATCTTCAACCATAAGAATAGGCACCAGCCCTCTTCAGGTTTTCATAGTAGTATTTTCATCAAAACAGTGATTTTTTTAAAGTGGGTTTTTTCCTAAAGTATATTTAAACAGAAAAATACATATTTAACAAAACATAGCAAGATATTTTCACTCTTAACGGAATTGTAAAGATAGCACTCTTCCCCTAAGCCCTGACAATGTTTCTGTCCAGTTTTACTTTAACCACATGATTAAATGTTTTACAGAAACTATCCTCTACTTCTTTCTTAGAGACACTCTACAGGATTGAGTGTTATGTATACAATAGGCTCCAAGGAACATTTCCAATGAGTAAAACACCAGGGCCTATGTTTTTCCATCCTTTAGCTGATTCCTGTTTGCTCAAAGGTCCCATATCTTACCTTGCAATTTCTATTGCTTCAACCCTCTAAAACTTACTCATCCAATTCTATCTCGTCTTTGGGGTAAATAAAGAGACCCTTTGCCCCTTCCCCAGTGTATCCTATGCCATTCAGTGTTGTTCAGCATTCCTAGGTTTACTATACAGAAAACTGGAACTAAGGACACAGGACTGAAGCTTGTCAGCTATCACACAAGCTGAGGTCACAAAAATTCAAGGCAAAAAATAAATTCACACAGCCCACCTATAAAACAGTAAACTAGATTCAATGCCTCTTCCTCATAGCTTTGGAAAAAAATAGACAAGCAAAACCTCACTTCTCTATTTTATTTAAGGAGATAGACAATAAACACTATCATCTATCACTGAGGTCTAAATTCAACAGTGACCAAAGTGTCAACTGTAATACAAAGAAAAGCCATTCACCACAGGGACTATAGTTTTCTAGTAGTAAGCATCTATGACATAGGGAAAGCTTACCAATGCAAGCCAGAAAGTTTTCTACAGAGCCTCATCAGTTGGGCACTTACCTTATTGGTGAGGCAAAAGATATAAGCCCTAAAGCATCTAATTACGGAATTAAAAACGCAAAAATAAAAGGATTCATGTTTTATAACCACTGTAGTGCAAACTGAAAATCTGTTTAGTGAGCAGACTTTTGAGGAAGAAACATTTTAAAAGATCACATCAGAGGTGGCAATTCTAAGGAAAGCCAAGTAAGATGTGCTTAACATATTAACAAGAGTATATTTACCTAAGAATTTGATTTTAAGTATCCTGAGCAAGAGACTGACAACACTTTTCCACTTAACTTCTTACCTAACCTTTTAAAAAAATATATTACATCATGCTATACTCCATATCATCAACACGTAAGTTTTCTGGTAATCTCTGTTTTGTTATTTAATATATCTGACTATCTATAGTATTACTAAACCCGTATTGCATAACCTATAAATATTATGAAACAGTGAAAGAGGTTTCTAAGTATTCTGAAGAAAATATGCAGAAATCTGGCCAGTTTCCACACACTCTTGGCCACTTAAATAACATTGCTAATTAGGTTATAAGTAAAGAGGATTTCATTATATTACAACTTTGTTTAAAATGGCCTCCATTCCTATTCTGGTACAGTTAAGAGGCAAAAATCATATAAAATTATTATTGCTCTTGATAAACTAACCTAAGCACAGTATTCTACCTCACTTAAAGAAGCCATGAAGCTTTGATTTTTAAATATCCAAATTAATTAGAGGTATGAATATATATATATATGTTTACATTTATATTTATCTGAAATACTTCCTCAACTAACGACTAAAACCTTCCAAATTGGGAATTGTAACACTTGGGTAAATAAAGACCTTTCTTGTGAATTGACTTTTTAAATCCTATTCTTGGGAAAGAGAAAGAGAAACGACAAAAAGAATATTTGGGAGGCTGAGGCAGGAGGATTGTTTGAGCTAAGTCAGGAGGTCAAGACCAGATGCCTGGCACATGCCTGTAGTCCCAGCAACCTGGGAGACAACAGGGGGGTGAGGGGCAAGTTGCTGAGGTGGGAGGATTGCTTGAGCCCAGGAGGTTGAGGCTGCAGTGAGCTGTGATTGTGCCACTGCACTCCAGCATGGGCAACAGAGCAAGAACCTGTCTCTTTTANAAAAAAAAAAAAAAAAAAAAATAGGGTCTCATACAGCTACAATTTAAGTGACTATCATGCCATTTTATTTTAGATAAACGATATTTAAGTGATTCAAATGATCACTATCAGATCAACGACAACACAGGCCCTCTAATATATGTTAACACATTAATTAACAGTCTTTTAGCCGCCGCCCCCTGCCACCAACTTCTAACCTGTAACTTTTAAAGACTCAGAGTTGTAGTATAAGTGTTTTAGACAAGCCACGTGCTGGTAACACTTATCTCCCCCTTGTTTCCTACCTTCCTTCATACAGTAAACAAACCATTTTAGAATCACTTATATGACCTCATTATCAAACATACTTGAAGAAGCCACATGTGTACTCTACTTAACAAGTCAGTGACATTTCTTTGCATCAGTTCTAAAATAAGTTCATTCACAAAATAATAAAGGGATTAAAACTAAAAATCTTAGGTCTCAAACTGAACAATCAGTTTTAATAAAATCATCTCTCCACATAATTTTTTTAATAACTCAAAATCAGGAGTGGGAATTACAGAACCATGAGATTAGACTAATAATCTAACAATTAGTCAAGGCAATGCTTAAGCCAATATAATGTTTCAAGAGGAAGAACTGAGCTTTTTATATCGTTTAGGAGCAGGAAGGTAAAAATAAGGTCACAGCCTGGACATGTTAAATTTTGAGGAATCAGGCATAAACATCTGACAATTAGAAACATCACCAGAGTACAGAAGCGGGCTCCAGAAAAAGAATGAGATCTGAGTCATCTCCATAGACAAAATAGTTCAAGAAGTTTGTGTAAACAAGACAAAATATAAAAACAAGGATGATGACAGAATCTGGGAAAATGACTACATTTAGAGAATGAAAAAAAAAAAGAGAGAGGTCTCAGGTAAGGTAAGATAAAAGGCAAAATGTAATTAAGACCTAGAATGTTTAATAAGAGTTTCCAAAAGCAGTAACTATCATTAACAGTAACAAACACCAAAAAGTACCCAAGAAGAGGAACTGAAAAAACTAGGCGGCCATTGGGACTTGGCAGTGAAAAGGTCTGTGATTTTTTTTAAGATGTCACGTGGCAATGGTTTGGAAAGGAAAGAAGGGAGCAGAGAGAAAGGCACATATCTTGCCAGTTTTTAAAAAGATTAAATAGAGAAATCCACTCTCCTATCTCCAAGGCAAAGACCTATATTCACATTCTAATGTAAACCCAGCGAGGAGCTGGCAAACAGACTGAATCTGGGAGGGGAGAGAAAAATCCCTTATTTATACCTTATTTATAGCATTTGATTATTTCCATGGTGTAAATACTCCCACCATGGCCAATTTCAAGCTGCCAACAGTTGGCAAAATTCCTGAAAACATAGCAATGGATTGTTGGTACAAATCAACTCCAGCATACAACTACGAATCACCTCTTTATGGTCTACCCTGCAAATGGGCAATTCTGTGACAGCTTTCTCTCAACTGACACTTAATCATTCTCCAGGACAACTTAAAGCAATTCACGGAAGTCTACCCTACTCTCATTTCATTTAGCTTTCTCAACTGTGCTGCAACTGAAAGAGGTTGGATGTTGAAAGCAAAATGGATCCCCAGGATGCAGGTCTTCACTAAGTGCTACAAAGTAAAAGACAAGAATCACATTCTCCAAAAAGCCATCAGGTGACCATTTTATAACTTTCCTTTGTTAATGTCATCTCCCTATCTAAACGAGCCAAACATCCCACAGGAGTCCCAATTCCAGTGACAGGCAGCAGAGAAACAGGATAAAGCACCTTAGATTAAATCCAGACACCTCAAAGGGTTCCAATCCAGCCCTACTACTTGCTGGCAAGCTGTTAGCAGCCTTTCGAGAGGCAGTTTCAACTGCAAAATGGGAACAATAATACCCAGCACACAGGGTCAACCTTAGAATTGACAGGATTACTGCTGGGGAACACCCAGGAGGGGTAGAGGCTTAACCTTCTCTGCTTGCCTGCTTGGTACATTCAGGACATACCAGTATAGTCGCTGGACAGTGCTAAAGCGTATTGCCAAGAATACCAGGAAAGCCCACCTCTGTCTAGAAACTATGGCTGATCAGCTGCTAAGGATTTTTTAATCATCTACCTTCAGTGACCTCCAGCCATCACTCAAAGCCAGAAAACCCTTTCAGGTTGTGTCCTGGACTCCCAGGCCCCACAACACCAAAACCAAAGAGTCCACCTGAAAGTAGTGTCAAGAGTCAAAAATGTTGTGACAAACCAGATGAGAACACAACCTACCAATTAGGTTCCTACTGCGTCTACGTAACACTCAACAGGAAGTTCATCAACAAACCTCAACAGTGGACTCATTCATCAAATAAACAAAACTCAAGAGAGTAACTTTGTTTCTAATATTTCACAAGTTTTCCCCATACATCTTTCCAAATATCCCTGTCTTCATGGTACTTCACATTTTATCATTTAGGTTATGTTTCCTAGGCAAATTCAGATGTCTGAAGCAGAATCGACATCAAAAACTTGAATATATATAGGGGAAGTGTAGAAGTTTACTTTCCAATATAAATGACAGGCCTTGAGAAACAAGGCAATAATCTCCAAAACAATTTAATTATTCCACTCATTAACTCATTAATTCTTCTACTAACAAGTGCAAGAGTCATTTAGGTGTAGAAAAGAATAAACTCATTATACCTGTATATCAAGAAGTTTCACATTAGACATCTGCCCTCCAACTTCCAGTTTCCTATGTGTGTGTTCTTCTAAGGCACATGCAACACAGACTTCTACAGTAAAGCCAGAATAATCCCAGAAGCGCAAACAAATAAGGGACAGTGGAGCTTTGAAGACAAAGACCTTCATCCGAAAGATGAATTACCACATTTGAACGTATCTCTATCTTAAGGGCTAATTTTGTTTCCATGAAGCATCTGAACCCACAGCCATACACCCACTTCCCTAATTCCTTCTCCCCCTCCCTCCTTCCCGGCACCCCCGCCCTCCCGCCGCTCGCCGCTCGCCGCTCGCTGGGCGAATTCCGGCCTCTTTCTAAACCTCCCCCAAAGAAGCGCCGCCCCTTCCTCCGGCTTGGGGAAGGATCGCCCAGCGGCCGAGGCTGGACAGAGCACAGGTAGTGCCTGAAGACAGAAGCCGCGCTGGGAGGCGGACAGAGTGACCCAGCCATTTCCCGCGCCTCGCAGTCAGGTGCAGGATCGGCCGGGCACCGCCCGCCGGCCGCACACGGGCAGGCCGGGTCCCTCGGCAGACCCGAGCCGGGGCGGCTGACACAACAACCGGGAGGACCCTCCGCGCGGGGTCAAGGTGGTCTTCCCGCGCGGCCAGAGTCCGGCTCAGACATCTCGGGGCCCTGGCGCTGACGGGAGCCTGTCCTGGGTAGAGCGGCGCCGGGACGCCTCGGGGCGCCGCGCGGGCTCTTGCTGGGGCGGGTGGAGGAAGCGGCCAGTCGTCGCCAGGCGGGTGGCGAGTCCTTGGTGCTGCCCACTGGGCCTGAACCCCGCCCGCGCGGAGGGCGCGCGCCGGAGACACACGAAGCCCCCTTGCCCACTGCCGGCAGCGCTTACCTTTCACCGGTGTCGGCCGAGTCCACCGCCTCCTCCTCCGCCGCCATAGGCCCCGCCGCGCAAGCGCCGGGAGTGCCTGGCAGCCGGCTGACAGGCCAACTGGGGCGTCCCGGCCGCCGCCGCCCTTAAAGCCGCGCCGATGCCCGCGCATGCGTCGTCCTCGCACGCGCACGACCCGGCGGCGCGCCGGCGCTTACGCGTGTCTGGCCCTGCCTCCCACCCCCAGAAGCGTCCTCCTCCCTGAAGCGCCCCGGTGTGAGCGCTGGGCGGGACAGTCAGCCCAGAGGGACTGGTGAGACTCACCCGGCAGAGATAGGAGGTAGCTAATTTTAATAATGACTGTATTCATGCATCATCCGGTCGGTGTTGGCTGTCAGGTGGCACCCTGGGGACCGAGGCGCGCCCAGTCCTGGAAGAGCCTAGCTAGAGTCCGATAGATAGTGCCGTGGCGAATGAAATGCCGTAATCGAGATGCTGTGCGACCCCCCTGCCAGCCCTTCCCCGCGGGTGGCGGGGCCAAGGGGAGAGGGCAACTTTCTGGAGCCTTCAGTCATTTGAGCACCGCTCTAGGTGCTGGGGTCACAGTAGTGGCCAAAACCAGCAACTTCCCTCCCACCCAGCTCTCTAGATGCCTGGATGGTGAAAAGAGTCGGCATTTAGGTACTTAGAGTTATTGAGGGGAAGTGACTAACCTTAATGGCACCATTTCTTGACCTGTTTTCAAGTCTTTTAGCCATCAGGTACAACTTGCTTTTTAATTCTACCACGCACTGCTACTCATCCATTTGTGTTTGATGTGTGTCTACGATGGACCCACTCTGTTCTAGGTGATTGGAAACAATGGATTGAAATATGGCTCCTCTTTTGATAGATCCTACACTAATATATTAACCTTTATTTTAGACTCAGTTCATTCCTCTCCTTCCCTCTCCTCCCTTTTTCTCTCCTCTGAGCCCCATTCTAAACCTGTCTTTATCACTCATATAGCACTCAGATTCTCAGTCTTGTGTAATTGTTATAGCATTTTAATAAACATTATTGAGTATCTTTCCAGCTACACAAGAAGGTCCTCTGGGATAGGGATAGTATCTTCTGTAATTTAGAGAGGGGAAAGCCACGTATAAATTCTTAAGCATAGTAATAACTAATAAATTATTTATTATGTTTGATCCAATTCATAAAATATTTTAGGAAAGACCAGAACATATAAAAAACATTTTTACAGGAATTAATGGTTGTTTCATGAAAGGGCCATATATGCAAAGTGACCTCCAAATGCAGAAGGAGCTGAGAAACTAAAGAATGAGGCAGACAAATCCAGCTTGTCAGTAAAAGGTGATTTATTAGGGAACTTATGGACAGAAGCATGTTCTTGGACAGCAGCAAGACAGGTAAATCTCTGCTGTTACTCGCGCAGACCAAGGTTGTTTTGACCTAACAGCAGGTAAGTAAGTATGTGCTCTGATATAGTTTGGATGTTGTCCTCTCTAAATCTCATGTTGAATTGTGATCTCCAGTGTTGGAGATGGGATTTGATGAATTTCTCATGAATGGTTTAGCACTATCCCCTTAATGATGTCCTTGCAATAGTAAGTTCTTGTGAGATCTGGTTGTTTAAGAGTGTGTGGAACCTACCCCTCACTGTCTTGCTCCTACTCTAGCCATGTAAGATGCCTGCTCCTGCTTTGCCCTCTGCCATGAGTAAATGCTTCCTGAAGCCCTCCCAGAAGCCAAGCAGGTACCAGCAGCATGCTTCCTATATAGCCTGCAGAACCGTAAGCCAATTAAACTTCTTTTCAGGCCAGGTGTGGTGGCTCACACCTGTAATCCCAGCACTTTAGGAGGCCAAGGTGGGCAGATCACGAGGTCAGGAGTTCAAGACCAGCCTGGCCAAGATGGTGAAACCCCGTCTCTAAAACATAAACAAACAAACAAAAAAAACACTTTTCTTTAAAAAATTACCCAGTCCCAAGTATTTCTTTTTTCTTTTTTCTTTTTGATGGAGTTTCAGGCTGGAGTGCAGTGGCTCAATCTTGGCTCACTGCAACCTCTGCCTCCCAGGTTCAAGAAATTCTTCTGCCTCAGCCTCCCGAGTAGCTGGGATTACAGCTACCATGCCTGGCTAATTTTCTGTAGTTTTAGTAGAGACAGGATTTTACCATGTTGGCCAGGCTGGTCTAGAACTCCTGACCTCAAATGATCTGCCTGCCTTAGTTCCCAAAGTGCTAGGATTACAGGCATAAGCCACTGCACCAAGCCATATTTCTTCATAACAAAGAACAGCCTGTCACATGCTCTTATACAAGGAATGATAGATAAAGTAGAAAATTTGGAGGCTTTCCCAAAACTGGGGTTACTCAGAAATCGACATGGTGGATTAGCATCCAAGATGGATTTACTTTAGCCTCCACGATAGTGTTGCCAGACACTTGTAGTGTGTTTGCAGAAACTGATCCTCTACTGAAATACCCTAGCTTGGCTGTGGCGAATACATTTTAAACAATCCTGCCAACTCCCATTTTACCCACCCTGAGCTATGTAGGGCATTCTGTTCTGAGAACTTTGTAGTCTGAGACACCTGGCATCTTTGTAACCAATTTTCTGAGAAACAGGTCCCACTGGCCCATACATCCTGTGCCTGCAACTGTGTAACTGCCTTTCCCACATCCTGAGTGAAAAACAACTTTAAATAGAATTTTGTTGTTATGAACCCCCTCAACCTGCTCCTTCTGCTTCTGTAATAATCTGCGTACTGGCCCCTGACCCTAAACTGATAAAAAATGTTGACTGCCCTTTGTTCTGGGCTGAGAGGTTTGAGCATTAGCTGACTCTGGGTCACAGACGCGGGCATTAAAATGGACTCTCAACAAACTCAGAGCGTGGTGCTTCTGTTTAAACTCACATGGGTAAAACACTACAATCCCACTTCTTAGTGTTTGTTGAGAACCCTAGTGCCTGGAACACAGTCCAAGCCCAGTGGTACTGAGTCCAGTAATGAAACCCTAGGATTTTGCAGCAACTCCTGCAGCACTTTGGTCTTTATGGACCTGGAGTCTGCTCTCAAAGATGCTTGTGCCTGCTGAACAATTTAAAAAAAAAAAAGAGAGAAAGAGACCATTGATCCAATGCTAGAGTTTATGCAGCAACCAACAAGCAGTGCATAGGACTGTAGGACTTCATGCTCTTCCTTAACTCTAGGAGTAGCTCTGGCCCAGGCTTCACCTTGCTGCTAATGAAGGAGTCATCTTCAACAGTGGCAAGAAGTCCAAGCTAGAATTGGGCATTCACCCATCCCCTGGGTGTTGCCAGCAATGATGGAGCCCTGCAACTCTGTCCTGACCACCATGCCACCCTGGGGCCCTTGGACTGTATGATCTTGGGAGACAATGGACCAACAAATGCCATTGCAACCTATATCCCAAGGGCCCCATGTACTTTAACCACGGATTGGATCAGACCTCCTCCATCACTACCTCTCTGAAGTTTGGTGGTCCCCTGAAAGCAGGCCTCTCTAAGTTTAAGGCCAGCTTGGTCGCCTACCTCCAAATTAACTTCCTTTCTGTGACCTACTAACCAATTACCTGATTGAGCAGTGCTTATATTGGTAGATTGCCAGTACCTACTTTGTTCTCTCCAATCAGATGGCCAGATATGACACTGACCAAACAAGTTCAAAGTCTGCTGTGTGTATTCTGCCTTAGGGCTGTGGCCTAAAGACTAAATGCTGCCATTGTCCCACCAAGACCAAGTGTGCCATACACTTCGTTGATGACTGGTGCCCCACTGGGTTCAGGGTTGGCTTTAATTTCCAGTCCTCCAACAGCAGTTCCCCAGGTGCTGAGCAATACAACAGCCATCACAGGGGCCTGGGCCTTTATCACAAGCCTGCCAAGAGGCAAACCAGAATGAGGGTAAGGGCATGGAGAAGGAGATTTTTTTCTGAGGGCTTCAGTGGCCTGGCTGCTTTGTAAATATTTTTTGGTTTTGGTAGAGACAGGTCTCACTGTGTTGCCCAAGCTGGTCTCAAACTCCTGGCCTCCCAGAGTGCTGGGATTACAGGCGTAAGCTACTATGCCCAGCCTGTAAATGTTTATAAAGAAATGCTGTAATGAAAGAAAGCAAATGTGATAGGGAGATAATAAGAAGGACACAGGATGATTAGGGAAAGTGGTAGCTAGGTCAAGGGAAGGGCCTGAACGTCAATCAGCTGTGTGACTTTTCAAAAAAAAAAAAAATCCCATGACTTTAGGGCTTCTCAGACTCTAATCTGCATGCAGACTTCCTGTGGGTCGTGTTAAATTGTAGATTGACTCTGTAGGTCTGAAGTAGAGCCTGAAATCTCTATTTCTAACTAGCTCCTAGTTATGCCTGTGTTCCTGAGGCCAATCAGCAGACTACCCTTTAGGTAATGAAGCTCTAGAGCAACCTGTCTGCTAGAACATTCTGTAATGATGGAAATGTTCTAGACCCACACTCTCTGATAAAGTAGCCATTAGCTACATGTGGTTGTGGAGCATCTGAAATTTGGCTAGTGTGACTGAATTTTGAATTTTAATTGTTGAAATGTGGAAGTCACACAGTGCTAATGGCTGCCATACTGGACAGCAAGGTCTAGATCTCTTAATCCTCATCTATAAGAATGAGAGTTTGGGCTGGGTGTGGTGGCTCACGCCTGTCATCTTAGCAGTTTGGGAGGCCAAGACAGGTGAATCACTTGAGCCCAGGAGTTTGAGGCCAGCCTGGGCAACATGGCAAGACCCCATCTCTACTAAAAGTAAAAAAATTAGCTGGATGTGGTGGTATGTGCCTTTGGTAGGTCCCAGTCTGGTAGGTCCCAGCTCTACTCAGGAGGCTAAGGTGGGAGGATCCCTTGAGCCTAGGGAGGGCGAGGCTGCAGTGAGCTGTGATCATGCCACTGTACCCCAGGCTGGGTGACAGAGTGAGACCCTATCTCAAAAAAAAAAAAAAAAAAAAAAAGTTTGAGACTAGATAATTCCCGAGGTCCCTTCTAGCATTCTGTGGTTCCAAGTTGTTTTTGAGGCATATATGGGGTGGGTAGGGTGGGGGGAGGACTGACAGATATTAAAGTCTGGAGTAAGGCATGAGAGGTTGGGAGCTCTACATAGTTGATTGGAGGAGTGAGGAAGAGGAGCATGGTGCC